GAGCGAGACCAGAGAAAGACCAGAGAGAGACCAGAGAGAGACCAGAGAGAGCCCAGAACGAGACCAGAGAAAGACCAGAGAGAGACCAGAGAGAGCCCAGAGCGAGACCAGAGAGAGACCAGAGAAAGACCAGAGAGAGTCTAGAGAGAGACCAGAGAGAGACCAGCGAGAGACCAGAGAGAGACCAGAGAGAGACCAGAGAGAGACCAGAGCGAGACTAGAGAGACCAGAGAGAGACCAGAGAGAGACCAGAGAGAGACCAGAGCGAGACCAGAGCGAGACCAGAGCGAGACCAGAGAGAGACCAGAGAGAGAGACCAGAGAGAGACCAGAGACCAGAGAGAGAGACCAGAGAGAGAGACCAGAGAGAGACCAGAGAGAGAGACCAGAGAGAGACCAGAGAGACCAGAGCGAGACCAGAGCGAGACCAGAGAGAGACCAGAGAGACCAGAGAGAGACCAGAGAGAGAGAGACCAGAGAGAGAGACTATTTTTTGTGATTTAAGAAAAAGGTACCCCAAATTTAATCAGTGATGGACTTGAGATATTTTTTTTAAAATGGTATAGACAATTTTTTTATATTCTATACCAGAAAATAGATGGAACCAACATATACAGTATACACTTCTCAGTATCCAGGAGATACCGGGAAACCCTCAGGGATGTTCTGAAGTCGGAGAAGTCTAAGTTGTGTAGAATTCAAATCACGAGAGTCATTAAACTTCTGCAACTCCCACTTCCTGAGACTTGTCTTTGGAGACGGAGGACACAAACAGGAGAGAGGTTTGGCTGGGGACAGAACCGCGCTGTCTCCAGGCCAAAAACCTAACCCGCAGTCACAGTGGCTTTGTCCTGCCAACAACGCCCCTTGTGTGTGTGTGTGTGTGTGTGTGTGTGTGTGTGTGTGTGTGTGTGTGAGTGTGTGTGTGTGTGTGTGTAGTGAGACGTGGCATTAGAAGTTGGTCCTTAGGATGACAGTAAGGCCAGCAGTGATAAGAGATCCATACAAGCCTCAGTAACTAGAATAGATGCGGTCGTAAATGCAAGCTGGCAGATATAAAACTGTGTGTGTGTGTGTGTGTGTGTGTGTGTGTTAGTTTGTGTGTGTGTGTGTGTGTGTGAATTTCAGGCTGCTAAAACAATTCCAAGTAGAGCTGAAAAATTAAAATGTTCTATTTTATAATCAATTTTGTTAATCAATTCAAATTTCTGGTACGTTTTTATTTTTATTTATTTGATTTTTTTGCCATTATAGACATTTTACGCCTCATTTTAAAAGGCTGTATCAGTACAATCCACCCGTTCCATCAACAGGCCGCACATCATATGTTTATGTCCTATGTACATTTCTCCATTGTGAGATCATATCTTACCTAATTTTAAAGCTCTGAACCTAAATTTGGGCGGCAGTAGCTCAGTTGGTAGAGCGTTGGCCTTTGAGCCAGAAGGTTGTGGGTTCAAGCCCCGCTCAGGACTTTCACCATCGACTCCCACTGACTACTGTCGTTGTGTCCTAGGCAAGACACTTAACCTCTGGGAACACCAGCCACAGTGGGGCGGCTGCGGCTGTAAAGTGCCAAACTGCCGTTGTGTCCTTAGGCAAGACACTTCACCCCCATTGCCTAGAATGAGTCTGGTGTGTGTGAATGGTTGGTGGTGGTCGGAGGGGCCGATGGCGCATACTGGTTGCCTCGCTTCTGTCAGTGTGCCCCAGGGCAGCTGTGGCTACAGTAGTAGTTTATCACCATCGTGTATGGAGTGAATGAATAATGACACATGTGAAGCGTCTTTGAGTGTCCAGAAAAGCGCTATATAAAACCGATGCATTATTATTATTAAATCCAGCTGCTGAGTCTGTTTTCAAAAATCCCAACTTGCTCAAAAAAATCTCAATCGATTGTTTATAAATGCAATATATTTGTGGCATGAACAATTTCCTAGTTTTTCAACAATATTTCAACATGGTTCCTTCCTTAAAGATGGTTCCTGATTATAGGGTGGATCCACCTTAAAATCAGGAACTTCTGGCACAAATTTGACCCCTGACCCTTCTGTCTCATTGGTTAAAAACCGCCACCAAATGGTCCAGACGCAGCAGCCGGACTTCTCACTGGTTTTAACAGAAGGGAGCACATCACCCCTGTTTTAGCGTCCCTCCACTGGCTCCCTGTGCGTTTTAGAATTGATTTTAAGATTTTACTGATTACTTTTAAAGCTCGTTTAGGTCTGGCACCAAGCAATATTTCTGAACTTTTAACCCCCTATGAGCCCCCCCGCAGCCTTAGATCCTCGGGCGGGTCCCTGTGACTGTTCCAAGGTTGAGGCTCCGGACAAAAGGGGACCGAGCCTTCTCTGTCCGGGCTCCTCGGCTTTGGAACAGCTTTAACTGTTAGTTTTAAACTTCACTTGCTTTATTTGAATGCTTTGTCTTTGTTGTGTCTCTCTTCTTGTGTGTCTGCTTTGTTTTCCTGTATCTACTGTATCTAATTCTTTTGACCTTGTATTATGACTGTTTTATTGTTGTTATCATGCTGACTGTGCAGCGCTTTGTAAACATTGATTTTGAAAGTGCTTTACAAATAAAGATAATTATTATTAATATTATATGAAAAAAACCCTGTTGAACCCTTAGATTATGACGTCTTGCCATGTTTTGCCTTTTAAAACAGTATTCCCTCAAAATTCGACAATGGCTCATTCTTGTCACCATTACTACAAAAGCATAATTCCCAAGTTAATATCCTAAAGGTTGCATTAAAATGAACACAAATAATTTGTTCTTTAAAAAGTAGCTTTTCTGTTGTTTCTCCGCATGTTTCTCTCGGAGCTTAGATCATTGATTTGGCTGTTCTGGTGTAATCACGTTATCCACACTTTTAAAACAGTCATTCGGATGGATTTCCTTCTTAGCGGTGGTTCCAACACCTCTATGTTGTTAGTAATGATTGTCCAGCTGCTCCTGTAAGTGAGAGGGGAAGTGGGAGTTGACAGTTCCTACAGACCACTGTGGACCGGGTCCGGCTAATGCAATTACGTGTCCGCCTGGATGAATGTAAGTGCTGTTACGGACTGCACAAGGTTTGCTGTGTATTACTCACACACTCAGGGATTACAGATGCCTCTTTACTCGAACTCTGAGAGGGTATAATTTACACTTAATTAATAGTTTAAGTAGATGTAAGATTTTCATGTTGAGTCATCATTAAATGGCCCTAATCTGTCAAAAGGCATCAATAAACCATGCCCTCTTCAAATACTTCAATGCTTTACAGCCCCTAAATCTTAATGTCCTGCCCTCCACCGTTTCACCAATCAGAAAGTCTGTGATCCGGGCGCCAGAACTCACCGCAACGAGCTGATCTCACTGGTAAACATGTGGCGCAGAACTAAAAAAGGGGTCGTTATGAGTCTCAAATCATCAATGAAATAACAAGGAATAAAACCAGGATTTCTATCTTTGTGAAAAGGGTGTTGGTTATAGATTTGTTGTTGACAAAACTCTTGTCTATTCAGCTGTTATGGTCCCAGCTGGATTCGTCTGCATATCTGGCAACCTGAGTCAGGGAGAGCCGGAGAGGTTGCAGCACCACTTTTTTTCTGACAGATTGAAGACAGAGAAAGCATTTTATATAAGACAAATGAGCGTCACAGCAAACCCACGGGGTGAGTCAACAGGACTGAGGATCTTCCAGCGGGGGCTTTTTGGGCAAAGTGGGGTTAAGTGTCTTGCCCCAAGGAAACAACACAGCAGTCTTCAGTGGGAGTCGGTGAGAAAGGTGTATAGGTGGGAATTGAACCCATCACCTTCTGGCCTTAAGGGCCAATGCGCTACCAACTGAGCTACGTCGCCTACGGCTGCTAATTCCGACCACAAAAATGAAATTTTTCTTTCAGTTTGAAAGTCACCCTAAGAAACCATTAACAAAAATTAAAATACCGGACCATCTATCATCAGCACTATCCCTTTACTATAGTGAAGTAAAGTTTACCGTCCCACGGCGTTCTTGGCACATAAAGCACTCTGTGGCAAAGGGGGGGTTGGCTGAGGGACCCTTTGGAACAGTCGTGTCGTCAAGCTAACCAAGCTTAGCGTCTCCTCTCCGTCGGGGTCCCCCACCGTACTGCCCCAGCACGCACTCCGACAAGCCTCACTGGGCTATGCACTCAGCACTTTCCACCTCAACCAAGCAACCAGTATGTTTAAAATACACCAGGAGTAGTGCGCACGGGGAGCAAGAGAGTAAGGGTAACGCGAGAGTCAGGTGCACTTCAAGGATCCACGAGGAATGGGAAAACAACTAATAAAGGATTTCTATTTTAAACCAGAGTGCCTCGGACTTTGTCTTTGGTGAAACCACTTAATTTATTGACCAATGTCTAAATGGTCCCTTTCTAACCAGACAATAAAAGTGTAGTTAATTAGTATTATCGAACAAAATTCAAACATTTATTCAAAACAACCTTTTTCGTCCCGAGCATCGTCGAGCTGGTGGTGGTACAGGCGGCTTCTCCCATGGCCAACTCAACTGAGTAATCAGAAGCAAATGGTTCGCCTCACGTCCCTGTCTGAAAAAGACAGGCCATGTGAACGCATACTTGTAACACCTGTCTTGATTAGAACTGCTGTGCAACAACATACTCATACTGGACATTACGTGTACGCTCAGGAGCAGATACTGCAAAAACAAACCCAGCAGGAGAGCTAGAGTCCCCCCATGACTTTGTACGTAAACCTGACCCCCCACCACCCAAACGAAACAAGACAGCCCATGTTGTGGCCTGATTTCTATACAACATTTTACTTTTACATGACAACTGTGTGTTGATTCAGAGTCACAAAGCGCTTCTCGCTCACCTAATGATGCCAAAATTCATCGAAGTACCTCCTCGGACCTTGAGTCCCAAAAGCTCTTGGAAGGTGGAGACCACACAGGCGATACCTGTCCCGGTTCCAGATGGACCAAAGATTCGGTTTTCAAACCTGAAATCAGAATCACATGATCAAAGCTCAGCGTGGAGCGGCAGCGTGTGGTGACAAAAACACAAAACGATATCCTAATCGTTGGAATATAAGGATGCGACGAGGTGTCATCGTCCTAAACAAACAAAACCTGTGCCAGTGGTAGCTAGCGGTTACTCGCCTGTTTGAGTTATATTCTGTGTAACTGCAGGATTTATGAAGGAAAAAGTTAATTCACAGTCCAAACAGATCGTATGTCCCTTGCCAAATGACGTTACCACAGCTGTGCGCCAGCACGGGTAAAAACATTTCAACGATCATTGGGAAACAGAAAGCATCTGAGCTCGGGGGTAAGGAGTGAGATTTTCCTTTTTATGTAGAGTTTTTGCCTTTAAGTTCAAATAGTCAAAATGAAATAATTCAAATAACAATTATAACGCAAAGGAAAAGATTGCATACAGAATAGAATAATAAACAAATGGAAAAAATATTGGAAAAATGTAATAGTAATAAAAGGTAAATATATATATAAGAATAGAAAAGGATAACATATTTAAAAGCAAGTGAACAAAGTGGACTTTTGCAAGGCACTGTGTTTTGTTTTCTCTAAGCTGAATAAAATGTCTAATATTTGTGCTTTTATATGTCCTTAAAGCTCCTCCAACTCCAAGTAAGTCTTTACACTATGAAGTATCTCATGAAAAAAAACAACTTAAATACGGCTAAATAACTCCTCTGTGTTTGTGTTCAGTGTTTGATAAACCTTGGAGAACGATTGACTGGGGGTAAGCGTAACATCACACTGTCTCATGACGTATTTTTACCTACATCAGGGGGTTATGTCTTTGCAAGGGTTTGTCTGTCTGACTGTTTGCAGCAAAACTTAAAGAATAATAATAATGCATCTGTTTTATATAGCGCTTTTTTGGACACTCAGGAACTTTACATGTCATTATTCTTTAACTCCAAACACAGTGATGATAAACTACTGCTGTAGCCACAGCTGCCCTGGGGCACACTGACAGAAGTGAGGCAACCAGTCTGTGTATGGAGAAAGTCTCGAACCCACGACCTTCAGGCTCAAAGGCCAATTCTCTACCAACGGAGCTACTGTCGCCCTAAAAGTGGTCATTGAACATGTACAGACACGGCTTTCATGCGATCTCGTAAACTCAGAAATATCTACTGCATGTATTCTTCTGATTTCCCAGGACGGGGTTCTGGAGTTTTTTCGGGGGGCCTAATTCACACAAAACCCTGAGACATGATAGGATTTTATATTTGACACCGTTTTTATTTGTATTTCATTTGAGTTTGCAAATTGTCAACATGAACACTTTGATTGTCATGCAGACATGACTCAGGTCTTCTGGAAGAGTTGAAGGAGTACAAGCCAGAAGCTGAGGGCGTGGAACACTTGAGGGTCCTGGTTTACGGCCCTGTGGGAGCAGGAAAATCCAGCCTCATCAACTCCATGACCACTGCTCTCATAGGCAGGATGGCTATTCCAGCGGCTGTCAATAACACCCAGGCAGACGAGGGAAGCTTCACTCTCCAGGTACTTATTTTGCTGATCCTTATGTCGGAGTTAACACAATATAGCTACGCATTGACACGGCATCAGAGAACCTAATCGTTAGGCTTCTTCAAACACATGCACACCTGTCCATGGCTCGGCTCCTTGGTGTGTGACAGTGGGAGGGGAGGAACAAAAGTTGGCAACGCTTTTTTACAGGCAGGAATATGCTAAAAAGAAAATAGAAAGAAAGAAAAAGAAGAAAATACTTTAAATACTAAAATAGCATTTTTCTGGACACTCAAAGACGCTTCACATGTTGTTCTTCTTTCTTGAAAGAACACTGTAGCAACAGCTTCCCTGGGGCACACTGACAGAAGCGAGGCATCTAGTTTATGCCATGAACCTTTTCGATCACCATCAACCATTCACACACACATACAGTACCATGCTCTTTCTAGGTAATGTGGGTGGCCGTGTCTTGCCTATGGACACAATAACATTTTGGCACTTTACAGCCACAACTAACCTTGAGGTGTTCAAGCCAATCACGCGCCAGTCTGGGGGTTTAGGGCGGGATATCCGGGTTTGACGAAAGCAAGAAGTGCCAGGCTGAAGCAAAACAAACATGGCTACGCAGGAGGACGGACGCATAGCTGAGGCTATCAAGTCAGTTTTAGCAGAATCTCCAATTTATTTTTTGAAAGATGAACAGCGAGAGGCGCTTTGCATTTCTGGACGGCAAAGAGGTTTGTGCATTTTTACCTACGAGTTTTGGCAAGAGATGACGACATAATGTTACCGGGATTGGTTTAAGTCAAATCTTGGTAGGCGGGCACACAGCGTCACCTCGCCCAATCAGCTTGAAGTATTCTGCTGCTTATCCGTCCTTTCCCCGAAAGGATTCTCCTGCAGAAGTCCCAGATTGATATTGTGGAGAACACATTAGAGTTCTACACAATCATCAATCTGGCTCTTGCCAGGTTAAGCCACAACCACCCCACTGGAAACTAGTGATATTTAGTGTTCCTAGAGGTCTCCCATCACAGTACTAACCAGGCCCTGCCCTGCACAGCTTTGAAGATCTGACAGGATCTAGCTTTCACTGGCAAGTTTGCCGATTTACAAGGGATAGCTCCCACACTCACTCATACAATATTGAGTATATTCCACTCCATAGCTCCTCAGAATTATGGAGCAGAATTCCCCACTTTGTTCAATTGTCAATATCTTTCATGAACCACTTGCTGTAAAAAATAGTTTTTTTGCGTCTAATTTTAAGGGGGGGTGATTTTTTACCTCCTGTATTAACCCAATTTGTAGCTACTGGTGGATTCTCATTTTTTTCATTGTTTTAAGATGTAATCCTTTCAGTGGTTACTTGGGATTCATTTGCCAACAGGGATTTCATCAACAAAGATACATCATACAAAGTTGATGACAACACAGTCTGTTAGAGCCACAACCAATAACAGTGTTCACTACCTTCTGAATACCTTTGAAATAATTCATCTTTTTTAATCAATCATTTAGTGTAGTATTCTTTCCTACTTGCTTATTTTGTTTTTGCTGTTGAAACTGTAGTTCACTTATCAGCAATGATTTGAAATTGCATTATTTTACTGATGCCCCAAGCTGTAAATCCCAGAGTTCTTTGTCATGTCAGAGCTATACATTAAGGAACACGACAACATATTACTTTCTTTCTGTCTAGTACAAAACTCACCGAATCCGAAAAGGACAAGGAAGTTCCAGGAGTTATTTTCCTTTTGTCTTCAATGACATCATGGGGCTGGAGAGTGACCAGAGTGTGGGCGTCCGGACTGAAGATATCAAACTGGCCATGATGGGACACGTGAAGGAGGGCTACAAGGTAACACACACGTCACACACAAGCCCAGTCAACAGTTCTGGAAACAAAGATTGGCCGCCACACTTCTGCCGGTCTGCCCCAGGACAGCTGTTTAGCACCACATTTTTGGAATGATTGAATAATGCAAACTTAATAAATTCACTACGGCAACCACTGCTCCTGACAGTGGCCCTAGCCATGATGAAGGACAAGTCAAATGCAGAGGAAAAAAATCTTAATTAAGACTAAAACTAATTTGTAAACGCTCTCTGCCGACCTGACCACCTCACACGTTGTGCATCTGTGCAATAACTAACGTAAGAATGTGCAATACAGAACCACATGTACCCACTGCTTCTTTATTACATTTTGTAAGATAAAGACTTTATAGTTACTTCTTTTTATGCTAAGTTAGAGATTTAACTTAATTTTAGTATAGAGTTATAGTTCATTTAATTCATCTTGCGCTCATCATCCTTTTTTATTTTTATTATGCCTTACTCTATTCCTTACAGTACCTCTCTTCTTTGACTGTTGCACCTAGAGCCAAAGCCATTTCCTAGTCTGTGACGTCCTTTTACTTACCTGGCAATAAAAATGATTCTGATTCTGTACCTGGTGATACAACAATGAGGTTTCCCCACAGTGGGACAAAGGATCTCTTAATCGTAATCTTTTAATCATCCAGTGATGCCACACTAGACATTAATCACAAAAGTTGACTTAGTGACTAATGGCTAGAAGCCCCAAGCATAAAGGTAGCTCCCAAATGATTCCAATCATTAGTTAAAAATCTCAGATGACTAGTTTTGCTTGAAGCATGGTCTGTGTACCTTCCATTCATTCCAATTCTGTTTCTCCAAATTAAAAAAACAAATTTAGGGCTTTTTCCATTTTCTTATATGTGAAAACAGAAGAAATTTGCATTGAATCATGGGTGTCAAATTGGATTTCGTATAGTTCTCTTTAAAAAGGAATTTTGTGCAAACGTCACAATATTAAAAATCAAATAACTGTAAAACCAAAGTACAGAAAATCATGAAAGTTTGTTTCTGTCTGTCTACATCTGGTCTGTTGGATACTCTGGTTTGTCCATCTTCTTTCGTCTTAACTTTTTAATTGGCCGATGCCTTTATGATTTTTGTTGGTTGCAGAGAACTTTTTTATTTATATTTTGGCTGTAGAATTTTTTTTTTCTTGGTTTGAATTATCATTACCATCTGCCATGAGTTGTCGGACCTTGAAATAATGCAAATAAAGACAATAATAAATTAACATTATTTTCCAGTTGATCCGGAAGCAATACCCATCGACCCAGGGAGTTTTTCTCATAGTTTTTCTTGCAACACTGGCATTGTCACGTAGGTGAAAAACAAATGAGGCCCAAAATGCAAAAACTGCAGAATAATGGATTTAATAAAAAACATAAAGCCTAGTGTATACTCGCGCGGCGCGGCGCTTACGGAGGTGACGTGACGTCACTTGCGCAACGCGTTGGTCACCGCAAGGCCCTTACGTTGCCTGCCGCGCAGCATCGACATTTTCTAACTACGTAAGGGTCGCCGCAAGGAATCTCCGCTCTGATTGGTCCGTGTGTGTGTATTGGAAGGAAGCACGGAGCGGCTGCAGCAGGAGCATGGACGAGGCACTATGGAGCAGAGAGCTTTGTGCTTCGAGGGGAAAGCAGTTTGGGCTCAGAGCCTGATATACAGGAGACTGTGGACTATCTAACATATATAACTTATATCTAACATATATATAACTTATATCTAACATATATATAACTTATAAACTGTTCCTGTCTTGTTTGAATCGTAGCTGCGTTTGTTGCTTTCCTCCTGCACTCGTAAATCGTTCATGTTTGTCTCAGATATTTACCACTATTATTGTTTTGCTGTTTGTGCTGAAAACTATTTAATAATAACTATGTTTCCAACAGAACTGTGTCTTTATTCACAGCATCACAGTTGAAATGACTTATAAAATAATGAATCCATAAAACTATCACATAAACCTACAGTAGAAACACGTGTAATGAGCTCAAACAGCTGTTTGTTATTGTTGTTCTGAAGAGGACAAAGTAGCAGCGTAAATGGGACCGCTCCTGTGTGATTGCCCTCATGTGGTTTGTTGTGGGATTACAACATTCTCCTCAAAACTCTGTGAGGGGAACGCGCCAGTATAACATCCATTGTGCTTACGTAGGTCCACCGCAACCGCTGCGCCGCGCAAGTATACACTAGGCTTCACAAATCCAAAACCAGAAAAACCACAGAGAACAAGAACTGAAACAGACGAGGGATGACAATGACGGAACAGGGAGTGAAGGAACACATAGGGCTAAAATACTAGACTAACGAGACACAGGTGAGACACATGAGGGCAGGGCAGGTAAACAGGAAGTACAACCAAAGAAGACACAGGGATATAACAAACTACAAAATAAAACAGGAAATAAATCTAAACCATGACAGGCATTTAGTGGGCAAATGTAATCATTGCAGCTTCTGAAAAGGAGTCTTTAATTCTCGTTCCAAATGTGGTTTTAAATTCATACCATTCCATCTTCTCGCTTAACTATGATATGAGAGCATCCTACTGCAACAACACAGGCATATTCCTGTTGTTAGTATATGTTTTAAGGAATCCTTAAATTGAATACAAGTCTGTTAACATCTAAAAATAATTTACGAAAGGACTGCACTTTATGCGTAGATCACAGGCTATGTACATAGTTTTATCTGAAAATCCCAGTTTTCAACATATATATATATATATATATATATATATATATATAATCGTTTGACATATACATACAGTCCTAGGACTCAATCTAAGTAGCTGTAGGTGACAATGTTGTGATTGTTTCTGTTCTAGTTCAACCAACTGTCTCCACTCTCTCCAAGTGATAAATACTACAACCCCAACCCCAGACCAGATGACAAGGTGCACGTCCTGGTTCTCCTGCTGTCCACCAACTGTCCAGAAACCAACTCCCCCATGATTCAGAAAATGAAGGAGATTCGACAGGCTGCAAGAGATTTAGGTTTGTAGAAACACAGTATTCTACACAGCCTCGTGAAAACTCAGAACAACAGGTTTACAGCATACAGTGTCACCTGATCATGTCTGGCTCCAACAACACAACAATGTCGCAAAGCTTTTAGGATGTTACAGCAAGAACAAGGTTTAACAAATGTTAAGCCTTTATCATTTGAACTATATGCAGTGTCTTGAATAATCAATCAATCGATCTGTATTCGTATAGAGCTTTTCCTACAAAGGGAAACACAAAGCACTTCACTGTCCACAACACACAAGGCACAAATTCAATTTAATTCAATTCACTTTATTCTTGTATAGCCCTAAGTCATCTCAGAGGACTTAATATAAACATTGAAATCAACAACACAGATCAGAGAATGAACACTTAAGACACAAGAAATATAGAACACATACTGTATGTGTTGGTCTACAGGGAGAGACCAATGTCCATGAATATTGATAAATGTCCATACATGTTGTAGAATGTTAAAGTGTCCTTGATCATCACCACAGTCCTTCTTGTTAGACACTAACTGTCCAACAGACCCTCTTGCATGGGCAAGGAAAAACTCTAAAACCCAGTGGGAAAAAGTGAGAAACTTACCAGCTTAAACTGCTGCCCCCGCGACCCGGCAACGGATGAAGCGGAAGAAAATGGATGGATGGACTTACCAACCTAACCATATGCTAAGAGGACAGGAATGTAGAGACTGTGTCTGATTCCTTTACGTGGATGGGGAGCTGATTCCACAGTAAAGGAGCATGGTTGCTAAATGTTCTACCACAGTCTGAGTTTTTTTGACACTTTAGGAACCACAAACTTCTGAGACTTTAACCCTCTGACTTCAAGACAATAGACAATTAGTTTATCTCGAAGGAAAAGGGACTGAATACCTTTTTTCTTTTAAATGTCCACTTTGTGTTGGTCCTTCAAGGAAATCCAATGAGAGCTTTGATAGTGAAAACAAGAGGTTTCTTGAAGTTTTTTATGGTAAAAGACTGCTGTGTTGCATGTGGATTGTTTTCAGGGATCCCCCAGATTGCTGTTGGCACACACATTGATGAAATCTGTGATCAAATCGAAAAGGATGTCAAGAATGTCTACATGAGCAAGTCTCTAAAGAAAAAGGTGGGTTAACATTACTATTGCTAGTTTATTTGATAATTGATCCAACATTTGTTTATAAGTTTGTGAAATACTTATGTAGTCTATTCCACGGTTTTCATTGAGGAACAAGGATGAGCTTTAGCGATAGCCCAAAGTAACTATACTCAGTGAGGGTACATGCATTTGTACTGTGGGAGCTGAGGTTTAAGATAATGTTTGATCTTGGGACCCAAAAATGTTCTGTTATTTATCAGTCAAAGCATAAAACAGAGACAGACATTCTCCATGTAGATGAGTCTAATGCCAGGCCATGGAAAATAATAATCAAATTAATCAAAATCACCATCCATTTGTAAGTTGGAGGATCAGACTGTATCTGAGTTTTAGTGATTTCCAGAAACATATGATGACACAGTGGCTGAGTGACTTGTGGTCAAGCGTCACAGGGGCCACAACCCAGGAGTCTTCTTATATGAAGTTCACGCACACACAACGTCTGTTATTAATGAAAGAAACACTTGATGTGACAAAGTACAACCTAGTCAGTCAGGAAAATCTTTGGAGGGAGTTGAAAGTTTGTGTTGCCAAAGAGCGGCCCCAAAACACAGATCTCAGCTCTAGGGTAGATCTGCATGAAGGTATTGATCAAAATACCAGTTACACACAGACAATACACAGACAATGCACAGAGACCCTGTGTCAGTAAAACAGTAGAGTTTGGTTTCAGTTTGGCCTGTTTCAGGTGAAAACGCAAGCATTGTTTCACAGCCGCGTTAGAAAGAAGGTGTGAATTTCCTGCTGCTATGACCTCCCCACTTCCCGTACATTTGGACATGGTAGTGGGTAAACTAATGCTAACTTGTGCTTCGAGTACTACACAAATAAAGCTTCTTTGTCCAAACAAAACCACACAAAGCTCTAGTTTCACTGGGCTGGATTCCTGCTGTTCAGAGAATATTATTAACAATAATTAGTGCTGTCATATGATAAACATATTTCATTACAATTCAACGAATTAGTGTTATAGTTAACTCACGATTAATTACACATGTCCCTTGATTTGGTTTGAACAGGGATTGGATAAAGCAAAAATAAAGAAAGCTTATTCTATTTCCCTCCAAAAAGAAAATATTTGGATTGTCTAATATAAGCCACTCTGTCTCTGCAAGTTTTTGTCATTGCTTTTTTGTATAAAAATTAGGGCTGTCCAAAATAGCGCGTTATTAACGCGTTAACGCAAATCAATATTAACGCCGTCATTTTTTTTATCGCGCGATAAAAAAAATAAAAAATAAAAAATTTTTTGTTTTTTTTTGTTTTTTACTTTTTATTGCAGACAAACACATATACAGAAAAAAAAATAGAAACAAAGAAAAGGACTAGTTCAGATACATTGTAGACAGAGATTACAAACAATATGTAGTTGGAGATACAGGGGGCCAAAGAAGAAACCCAGAAGGGCACATAGGAGGGGAGGGGGGGGGGACATGAAGTGGGAGATGGGGGGAGGGGTTAATAAAAAAGGCAATACAAGCAAACAGTATACAGTCATAGATATACCGAAGGTAAACAGAGAAACAGCATAGAGTATTTACATGAACAAATTTACAAAATATTTACAGATTGTTTATCATCATCATAATGACACCATGATGTTTCTATACAGTCTATGGTCTATACCCACACATACACACACACACACACACACACACACACACACATTGAAGGGGCTTTTTGTTACCAATTATTTATTTTGTCATCCATTTATTGATGATTTTGCATCAAATGTTAGTGTGTAATATAACACTACACATTGTTTTCAATAAAAAAAGCAATTGCACACAGCACGCAAATGTGTGACTAATTTGCGATTAATCGCGAGTTAACTATGAAATTCATGCGATTAATCGCGATTAAATATTTTAATCGTTGGACAGCACTAATAAAAATATTTACCTTGGTAGAAATGACGGTAGCACTATATAATAACTACACCTTATTTAGGCTTAATACATGTTTAAATAACACTTAATTAATCATGAACAATTCGTTAATTAAGTGTGATTAACATTAACTACTTAACTACTACAGATAATAAATGCCTAACTCATAATGAATACATCTTCAAGTACTTCACTTGTTCATGATTATTTAATAATTATGAAGTAACCATTTGCTACTACATATATAGATGGTTTGTTACACCATGATTGAACCAAATGTTAACACTTAATAATTGTATACTTCATTATAAACTAATACTGCAGTGCATGATTTATTCAGTCAGTTACTAACAGTTAACGTTTTCGTACAACAATAATAAGCCATGAGACATGAATACAGAATATATATTCATCTTTTAAATTGCTTTACAAAGCTATAACAGGGCCATAACAATGAAATAAAATAAAATGCCTCCATATTGGCCCCATGAATTAAAAACACATCTTTGCAAAACATGCACAAACATACTGTACATTAACATTAAAAATGTAATTCAAGTAAAACAGGAAAAACACTGTGAAGAATGGAGGTTATTTTATGGTTGGGGACACTATCTTCAATCCTTCAAAGACTCTTAACTAACCGTTAGTAACTGACTAATAAGTCATGCACTGCAGTATTAATAAATGATTAATTGTCACACGTAAGGGTCTTCAACAAATGTGTAATAAAGTGTAAATAGTGTACACTTTACAAAAGCTCACAAAAACTCTTAACTGTTAGTAACTGACTGAATAAATCATGCACTGCAGTATTAGTTTATAATGAAATATACAATTATTAATCATTAACATGTGGTTTAATCATGGTTTAACAAATCATCTGTATATTTAGTAACAAATGGTTACTTTAATAATCATGAACAGGTGAAGTACTTGAAGATGTATTCATTATGAGTTAAGCATTTATTAACTGTCATAGTTAAGTAGTTATTAAGTGTTAATCACACTTAATTAATGCATAGTTCATGATTAATTAAGTGTTATTTAAACATTTATTAGGCCTAAAGTGTTACCGAAATGACTAGAATCGTCTAATTAACGCTACTCTAGTGTTTATGTTTTTTTTATTCGACTCAGTGAAATGTTTTTTTGCCCGTCTAAAGTTACTAGTTACTAACGAACACCATGTGTAAAAAAGTGTATTTTGCCAAAAAGAACGTTAAAGCTGCACTAACTGACTTTGTGACATTTTCGAATGTGAGCGCTGGCCTCGCTCTTTTTGGTCCCCCTTCCCCCACTCACGGAGCTTTCGTCCCCCACTACCCTCCTCCCACTCAGCCTGTGCTCATGTGCTAATTGTTTACGGAGCTAGCGTCTCACAATATGGATCTCACATTTGAACGTGGTGTGGCCATAGAATGATAGAACCGGGAAGCACGAAGGAGCAAGACTTTCTTTTGGCTGTTTCGCTGAGTAAGCAGTAACCGGTAACACAGACAAGACGAGTTTCAGGTTAGTCTCTGCCGCTTGTTTACCTCAGCTGTCTGTGCTAACAAGAGACCTGTAGATTTTCACAAGAAAGTAGGGGCCAGTGGTCCGCTGTGATTGGTCACAATGTGGCCCTGAAACAAATTATCTTCCTTGTTGCACGAAAACTTGATCTAAACTAAAATGACACGCCAGCACAAATCTGCGCTTCTTATTCTTCAAAAGCAAGTATATCCCAATGCACTGCATGGATATGGATTGAATTTTCGTAATGAATACAAAAATAGATTGAGGCAATGCAGCTTTAATTGCGCCATTACAATGACTTTTTCAAAATCAAACCAAGGAAAGCCTGTGGACCAGATAACATCAGCTCCAGGCTCCTTCGCCCCTGCGCAGATGAACTCTGCGGAGTGATGGAGCGCGTCTTCAACCTAAGCCTCAGGCTGAGGGCGGTACCACAGCTCTGGAAAACGTCCTGTGTGGTACCAGTGCCCAAGAAACCACAGGCCAAAGACCTCAGCGATTTCAGGCCGGTGGCTCTAACATTCCACTGCATGAAGACACTGGAGAGACTGGTCCTGGGACATCTCTGCTCCACTCTAATGGTGCTTTCAGACCGGATCATGCGTTGCGTTGGGTTTTAATGCAAAGTCTATGGTGGCACGGACCTCTCGGCACGCACGAATGGACTGTTCAATAATGACGCACAGACTTGGCGGGAAAGTGAAAAGGGAGGAGCAGGAGCGAAAAATCAATGCCCACAGGAGATGGATTCTGCTCATCCTTTCCTTGGGACGTTCGTGCGACAACCAATCAGAGAGCCGCAAAGTGGTCACGGGGACATTAGCGGACTGAGCGAGCAGACTGAAAATACTCATAAACAGCCAAAACCGGACCCACACCAGGCTTCACCAGAACTCAAACCAGGGCTTACAATGGGGCACTCTGTGCTTGTGAAAATATGCGTTGTCATGCTCCCGTGACCTTATGCAACAGCTTCCAGTGTGTTCGCAGATGCGGAAATTCCGTTTCATAATATGAAAACACGTATGGCGCACCTCCGTGAACACATACTACTGTTATATAAAGCCCGTGGAAAGTCTGTGAGAAAACACACGCTGCAAAGCTGCATATTGGAGAAGATCTGTACACAAGAAGCCGCTAGCATAGCTCTGTTAGCATTAGAGCCGGCCGGCTACTTCCGGTACTTCCGGCTCGCGTCAGGACGTTCTGGTATGAAATCCTCTGCGTCTGAAACCTAGAGAATGCGCGTCTGGTGAGCGGGGCTTCCGCGTTTCAGCGTTGGCGGTCTGAAAGCCCCATAAGCCCAGCGATGGACCCGCTGCAGTTCACCTACAGGCCGGGCATCGGAGTTGAGGACGATCATCTCCCTCCTCCATCGCTCGCTGTCCCACCTGGAGAAACCCGGCTCCACTGTGAGGATCTTCTTCTTCGATTTCTCCAGTGCCTTCAACACCATCCAGCCGAGGCTTCTCAGGGACAAGATGGACACAGCTGGAGTGGACTACGACCTGTCTGAGTGGATCCTGGACTGCCTCACAGACAGACCCCAGTTTGTGAGAA